CCTTGGTCATCCCAGGTTTCAGGATCCGTGGACAGAAACAAATTGGGCAACTCTAACTTTTCAAACAATTACCAAGAATTCTGATTGACAAAGGACTCCTTTCCTTGACCAATCAGTTACTGAAGATGAGGCTACGATCGCTGGATGGGCTTCACATCACCCTCCTGGTTCAAAGCCTCTAACATCAAATGCGTAGTACCTATACTGACCTGTTTATTAAATAGGCCAAGCTTACCAGTTGTTCGGAAAGATAACAGAGGATTAGTCAGCTTTTCGCTGGTGGCTCTTGAAATGATGGGGGTTGAATGCCCTGTATTTGAAGAGGTCCTTCATGAAGGTCAGCTCATTCATTTGGAGATGAAAGGGGGCTGGGGGCTGTAAACTAGGCTTTTATATAAATGCAAACAATGAAGAGGCACACATCTCGTAGCCCTGACTCTTTTTGTATTGTCAGCTTGAACTGACTCCGGAACATCCATATTTTGATGGCAAAAATGGCATGGTGCATTGAACCAGGAGTCAGGAAATTAACGGATCATGCGGGTGTCTCACCAAGTAAGATAATTGAGAGATCAAGTAATTCCCGGTAATCATCCTTTGGTTGCATTAATTCTAGCTGTGACTTTGCATTGTCAAGAAGGTCGTCATTTACCTGGTTAACGTACACTTATAGGAACTGATCACTGAAGCCTGCTTGGAAAGAAACATAGTCGATGTTTTCCCACTGGATATGAAAACGTTTGAAGAGGAGCACATCTGGTGCAGATGATGACCGAAACACTGCGTCAGAAGCACTTTTCAAAACCAACCCCATGATGTAGGCCCAACAAGGAAGAGTTTAGATAACTGTCTTGTATTCATAGTCCAAGACTCACCACAGTCACACACACAACACACTGTTACTCACCACAGACACACAACACCCGCTAGACAGTTACCAGCGGTGATACACAAGTGAAGTGCGCGGTTTTACCACGTCAACTGATTGTAAGCAAGGGAAGGTGTACTGGGTGTACTGTAAATGAACCCCGGCGATGCCACGTGGTGGACGAGTGGAACAAGCTTAGCAACTTTGTAGTAAGTGCGGGAGCTCTGGAAAGTTTCAAAAGGAGGCTAGATAGATTCATGGATGATAGAGAGTGGTAGTAACTCTCGACAGGAGCTGCCATGCACAGGCCAACCGGCCTATTGCAGACTCCTTATTTTCTTATGTTCTTATGTGTGTGTGTGTGTGTTTACTGTATATGCATGTGTGTTTGCGTGTTTGTGTGCGTGTGTATCTCTGTATTTGTATTTATATGTGGATTTGTGTGTGTGTGTGTGTGCGCGTATATGCATCTTTGTGTGTGTGTGCGTGTAAATAACAGTATGCCTCATGAGCCTTTATCAAAAACCTTTATTCATGGTGTAATTTTGTTTCGCACAAGAATTGTAAAAACACTTTTTTTGCCGAGTATACACGCAAACGTACATATAAACATATTTGAATACACACGCACTAATATACACACATACTCGTGAACCAATCAATCTGAGAACTGTCCTCATATCCGAGGGTTGACGACCACAGTCCACCCTAAACGTTCTCGGGTTGTGTTTACCAATCCTCTAAGGTTTTGTATCTCACTTGGGACCCAGTTTTTAATTTCATTCATCCATCCCTCTGCCTTCCCCTGGCCCTCCTACCCGCAACTTTGTCCATTAATATTTCTGTTATTATCCTTCATCCCTAATTATGTGACCAAATTATCTCATTTTTCTTTTTCTGTACATTTCAAGTATTTCTCTTGAAATTTTCGCTAATCTTGGTACTTCTTCATTTGTTTTCCTGTCATTGCAGCTTATTCTTGGTCTACGCAAATAACACCACATTTCAAAGGCCTCCAAACTCTTTCTGGTGTCTGCTGAATGTGTCCCCGCTTCTTGCTCATAAATCAGTACTCTACTTGTCATATAAAGCCTTTCAGTAGTCTTTTTCCCAAATTGAAGTTAGTGTTCCTTTTCATTAGGCCTTTTATTTTATTAAATGCTGTTTCTACTTGCCCCATTCTTGTTTTGATTTCTTCCGTACATCTACCATCACAGTTAATGTTACTTCCCAAATCCACAAAAAATTTCCATTTGATTAAGTGCCCTGTTGCCTACCATAATTTGTAATTTTTTATTTATTTTGAATTTATAACAACCATTTCTTTCGTCTTTACAGCATTAACGTTTTAACCATATTTTTAATCTTTTTCCACAAGCTGTTAACGAGTTTTTGTAATGCCTCTTCACTATCTATGGTAAGAGCAGTATCATCTGCATAGCGCTCATTTGATATTACGAGTACTTTACCATAAACGTTTAGTCCTTCATTATCATCACTCATAACTTCTCTCAATAAGAATTCTGAATATATAATATACAATATTGGGGATAGAACACAGCCTTGTCTTACCACCCGTCTGTGATCCAAATAATAAGTTCATTATATTATTTACAAAAACTGCAGCTTCGTCTTGCCAGTAAAAATTCTTTAAAATTCTAGTATCTCCTTCATTAATGCCTATTTCTTCCAAGATCTCTCTCTAAGTTTATTTTCCTTTAACTTATCAAAAAAAAATTCAAAATCAACAAAGCAGATATACAACTTTTGGGGGACTTCTAAACGCTCTTTCATTCGAAATTCTCAAACAAAATATAGCTTCTCTAGTTCCTTTTCCCTTTCTAATTCCATTTAGGTCTTCAGATAAACTCACTTTTTATTCTAAACTTTTATCTACTTAAAATAATGCTTTATAATTGTTTTGCATGGATGACATATTAAGTTTATTGTTCTAAACTGTGTGCACTAAGGCTCCTAACTTTTGAAATCACTGGGAAAGTCTCCTCTGAAGTATATAGAATTAAATATTTTAGTCAAACATTCTATCCCATTCTTGCCCATTTGTTTGATGCATTCTACTGGAAGCTGATCAATCACAGCTGCCTCAACCTGTGTTTCCAGAATTGGTAGTTCTATCTTTATTTCCTTTTCGTTATTTACCTCTACTACAGGAAGATCTAAACAAATTTTTCGAATGGTCTGAAAAATGGCAGATGAAATTCAACGTGGACAAATGTAAAGTACTTAGTATAGGAGATGTAAACAGGGAAACCAGATACCAGATGAACAACGATGCCATAGAGAAATCCGACTGCGAGAGAGATTTAGGAGTTATGATAAGTAGGAACCTTAAGCCAAGTAAACAATGTGTTTTTGCTCGTAACAAGGCTAATAAAGTACTTGGGTTCATACAAAGGAGTGTTAGTTACAAGACTAACGAGGTCATCCTAAAACTGTATCTTGCTCTTGTGAGACCACACCTGGATTACGCAGTTCAGTTCTGGTCACCGTATTACTGAATGGATATAGAATCATTGGAAAGAATTCAGAGGAGAATGACAAGACTAATCCCGGGCATTAGGAACCTTGAGTATAGAGACAGGTTAAAGCACCTTAATTTGCACTCCCTCGAGAGACGTAGAGCGAGGGGCGACCTGATAGAGGTGTATAAGTGGAAGTCAGGACTAAACAAAGGGGACATTACAAAGGTACTCAAACTATCCAACCAGGAGCGAACTCCCAACAATGGTTTTAAATTAGACAAATTTAGATTTAGTCGTGAAATAGGTAAACACTGGTTTGGAAACAGTTGTGGATGAATGGAACAAGTTACCAAATATCATCATTAACTCGAATACGCTGAATAGCTTCAAACATAGGTTGGATGCTTATATGAGCAATAGGGGCTGGGTGTAAACGGGACTGCCCAGTATGGGCCAAAAGGCCCGCTGCAGTTTCCTCCATTCTTATGTTCTTATGTTCTTATCATTGTATACTTCTTCTACGTACTCTGTCCATCTCTCCTTTACTTCTTATTGTCTTTGTTTTTAATAATCCAACATTTACCTACATTATGCCTTCTGGATTATACGGGTGTATAATATACTTTATTCAATAGTTTTCAAATTGTTTTATAAGTCGGACATAAACAAATAAAAAAGCCATACAATTTGGTATTTTTTTATTCAAACAAAGATTAAAAACTCAAATTTCTTTTTTCACACAACCAAATAAACACTCGATTAAATATAACTTTCCACAACCAAATGAAAACTACAATAATATAACTGTTTTTATTCTTAAACAAAAAAAAATAATTATATATAATTTTAAAACAATAATATAATAATTAACTAAATTAAGATATATTAATTTAGTATCTAAAAACAAAATAATAATTAAAATAAATAATAAATTAGAGAAAACTAAAAAATATTGAAATAATGAACTTGTGAATTCAGGAAAATAATAAAATTTTAACTTAAGAAACATAATAAACTTTGGAACTGAAGAAAAAAATCGACTTTTCTGTTAGGCCTTGCTGGGTTAGGTTAGGTTAGGTTAGGTTAAGTTATTTAAACTTCATAGGCGAAATTAGGACATTGAAACTCTACAGGGTATCTTTCTTTTTCCAATGGTTAAGGATTTAGAATATTGGTACCTTTTTGTAATTATAACATTTGTAACCTATTTTTTCCTCAGGTTCGTACCTTGCACTCCAATGGTACCTTGCTCTAAAATGGTGCCTTCCTCTACAATGGTATCTTGCTCTCCAATGGCACCTTGCTCTCCAATGGTACCTTGCTCTACAATGGTAACTTGCTCTCCAATGGTACCTTGCTCTACAATTATACCTTCCTCTACAATGGTATCTTGCTCTCCAATGGTACCTTGCTCTCCAATGGTATCTTGCTCTCCAATGGTACCTTGCTCTCCAATGGTGCCTTGCTCTACAATGGTGCCTTGCTCTACAATGGTGCCTTGCTCTACAATGGTATATTGCTCTCCAATGGTACCTTGCTCTCCAATGGTATCTTGCTCTCCAATGGTACCTTGCTCTCCAATGGTGCCTTGCTCTACAATGGTATCTTGCTCTCCAATGGTACCTTGCTCTCCAATGGTACCTTGCTCTCCAATGGTATCTTGCTCTCCAATGGTACCTTGCTCTCCAATGGTGCCTTGCTCTATAATGGTACCTTGCTCTATAATGGTATCTAGTGCTTCTCTTTCCAAAGGTCGAGGTTCAGACTTGGAAGACATTTAGAGTCACATGATAAGAGAGGGTTAAAAGGGCTTATGACCTCCATCGACCAACGTTGGACTTGATTCAGCTCTCTGATGTTGTCGCAGAGAATACGAGAGAAGGAGACCTGCTGGAGTTCTCTCAGTTGGTCTATGGGGGGGAGAGATAGGGGAGAGATTATTTTCAATTAGGAGATATAAGAGAAATATTGAGAAATAAGGTGATTCTTTGTGTCTCACTTACCAACAGTAAAAGCTCCCGGGGAGTCCTTGTACTCAAACCAGAATCTGTCTCCAATCTTGATTCTCACAAACTGGTCTGCCAAGATACAGGCGAAAGTGGGACCCACATTACCGCCAGCCACGTTCTTCTCTGATAGAGCGCCGACGAACAGGTCGATGTCTTCAACCCTCCTGAGGCACCATAGATAGATAGTTAGAAAGACTGACAGAGAGATAGATAGATAATTATATTTACAAAGAAATAGAGAAATGGAGAGGTGACAAACCCCATTCAAAATCTCTCCATTATTTTTCTGTATCAGTTTCTCTCATCGTCTCAGGTAAATCATGAATAATTTGGCAAGTGAGAGTGTCAGGTCGTTCTGAGGTCACCTATAATACCTTTATTAAGCCCTAATACTGAAGACTAGTCGCGTTTGTACCCACATATGGGAACATAATCAAACCATCATTAATCTATGACCTACTTGACCCTGTGGTCCAACCTGCCTGTCTGTCTCTCTCTCTCTCTCTGTATGCATTATTATATCTCTATATCTCTTTCTCTCGTTGTATCTCACTTGTAGGCCTTCTTCAGATTATCTAAGACCTGAGGTTCCATGTCAGGTTTGAGCTCATCAAAGTTATTGACAGGTTTCAGGCCACACGCCATCCTGTATCTGACGTAGCCAGGTATGCCATGGTCCCTCCCTCGTTGTACGTTAAGAGCGAGAAGGTCCAGCCCAAACTGCTTCATACGACGGAACATCTTCCCAGACACCTGTATAACCACGAGTTGTATTTAGTTACTGTACGGTGCGGCACACCAGATTACCTAAACTAACCAGACAAAAAAGAATTTGTTAAAAACTTAAAATCACCAAAAGATTCGTCCCTAGGCTTATTCCATCTGATGTTTAAACACCCCAAAACCCCGTGACTCAACTAAAACAAGTGACTCACCTTGGACCACGGGAATCACCTACAGAAACTCACCGACAAAGATAGGCCCATGTCCACATTGCCTGCAGCCTGGACCAGCCCTCCTCTCACTAGTCTCTCAGGTGCGCCCGGTAGGTACAGTGCGAAAGGGTTAAAGAAAACAGTACTGAAGTCTTCAACTGTGGTCCTTCCATTTTGCGCTACTTCAAAAATCCGGTCCTGTATGTAGTAGAGATATATAGTTGTGAGTGTGAGAGATAGTTTGTGGGAGATAGTTCTGAAGGTGAGAGACGTGTGTATAGGAGAGAGATATATGTGTGCTTGTAAGATAACACACACACACACACACACACATACACCCCGCACACACACACACACACACACACACACACACACACACATACACACACACACACACACACACACACACACACACACACACACACACACACACACACACACACACACACACACACCACACACACACACACACACACACACACACACACACACACACACACACACACACTGCACACTTACGGTAACTTGAGAGTGACCAAATCTGAAGGCAGCAGTTGCGAAATCAGTCGTCATAGCTGGATCAATTCTGTCATTATAATCAGTTGTTTGTTGACCATCAGTTCCTGTATTGAGTCCAGCTGCTGCCATGAGTTTAGGACCTGTCGAGTACACAACACAGGTATTACAGGTGTTTATCAGGTGGTACATATTAACACATATTAGCTATTTACACATATTAGCTATTATGTGTGTTTAAGCGTTACATTTTAACACATATTGACTTTCATAATGTGTTCAAGTATCTTCGTTGACTTCATTTATGACCTGTTTAAACATCTACAGTAGTCTGGGAGAAATCCGTATATTTTCTCTTTCTATCTTTCGGTCTCTCTCTCACTCACTTAACACAGGAGGCAAATATTCATTGTAAACAACTTGTTGTATCTCCGCTACAAGTATTCGCTTCGCCTCTTGAAACAGTCTCTCATCATCCCAGTGAGGATTGATCTTCGCCAGTCTTTTCGCCAGGCGGTTGTGTTCCCTCGCCCACACTGCCGTTACCATCACCATAAACATCTGTTCGTTCACTCGGTTATCGCCTGGGGAATACGAAAATTATTGGAGGGGAGGATATATTGAAGACTGTTATAGCAGGTGTTGGAATTGCTAGGTTTATTTAGTTTACATACACACGGACAGAGAGAGAGAGAGAGAGACTCACCCGCCTTAAAACAGAACTCCCCCTCAGCACTCCTTTCCGGTACATTACAGCCTGGAAGATTCATGTTTGGCCCGAGTAGTTCCACCCCGTCCCTCGTTAACTGTAAGTATAGAGATAACTGTATTTTTATGGTGAGAGACAGGTAGTGAGAGAAGATGAGAGACAATGGTGACTGATGAGAAGAGATTCTAAGAGAGAGAGAGAGAGAGAGAGAGAGAGAGAGAGAGTAACTCACCTGGGTTTTCAATAGTCCACCTTGGAAGCTTCGTAGTTCGGCAGCTTCTTCAAGAGATATCCCATATACACTGCCACCATCAACATACGTGGTCAGTTGGTTCAGCTGTTGTCTCGGTCCTGGGGGAGAGGTGACTATTTATTTATTTACCGGCCACTTATGTTACATTATGATAAACTAAGATATACTCCCCTAAGGTACACCAGTATATTCACATACGGTACACCAGTATACTCCCCTAAGGTACACCAGTATACTCCCCTAAGGTACACCAGTATATTCACATAAGGTACACCAGTATACTCGTATACTCCCCTAAGGTACACCAGTATACTCCCCTAAGGTACACCAGTATATTCACATAAGGTACACCAGTATACTCACCTAAGGTACACCAGTATACTCACCTAAGGTACACCAGTATACTCACCTAAGGTACACCAGTATACTCACCTAAGGTACACCAGTATACTCCCCTAAGGTGCACCAGTATACTCACCTAAGGTACACCAGTATACTCACCTAGGGTACACCAGTATACTCACCTAAGGTACACCAGCATATTCCACATAAGGCACACCAGCATACTGCATATTCCCCTAAGGTACACCAGTATACTCCCCTAAGGTACACCAGTATATTCACATAAGGTACACCAGTATACTCGTATACTCCCCTAAGGTACACCAGTATACTCCCCTAAGGTACACCAGTATATTCACATAAGGTACACCAGTATACTCACCTAAGGTACACCAGTATACTCACCTAAGGTACACCAGTATACTCACCTAAGGTACACCAGTATACTCACCTAAGGTACACCAGTATACTCCCCTAAGGTGCACCAGTATACTCACCTAAGGTACACCAGTATACTCACCTAGGGTACACCAGTATACTCACCTAAGGTACACCTGTCGGCAGGTACAGATCGCACAAACTCCATACAGGTGGCGGCATAAGGGCTGTAGAAGTTGTCGCCAGCGGGGATGGTGATCGGTGCACACTGTGGGTGTAGCAGGTCTGGGTTGTCCTGCACCTCCTTACTGCAGCATGTTATAGTGCTGCCGTTCACTCCTGTACCGTATAGCAAGGTTACATTAACGTATAGCAAGGTTACATTAACGTATAGCAAGGTTACATTAACGTATAGCATGGTTACATTACCGTATAGCATGGTTACTGTACCGTAGAGCAAGATAACTGCACCGTATTGCAAGGTTACTGTACCACACACACATACAGCTGACCTTAAGTGATGGGAAGCTCACCTTTACTCATGGGCGTCTCGGTCAGGTCATGATCCAGGAACTGGCCGAAAGTCATGTGAAGAAAGTTGAGACAAGTCTTCTGACCTGCCGGCTGTGAGGGGGTGACACTTCACTTACTTAAACAGTTAAGTAATGTAGCAATAGTTAAATACACAGTAATGAATTATGTAGTAATAAACCAGACATTATGTTACTTATAAACTTTTAAGTATTTGAACAATGGGAAAGTATTAAGTTTAGAATAATTAAGTTAACTTTTCCTTCGGTGCGCGCGCGCGCGCGCGCGCGCGTGTGTGTGTGTGTGTGTGTGTGTGTGTGTGTGTGTGTGTGTGTGTGTCAACATACTTTAAAGTTGACAGTGGTGCTCACTAGACGGGCATTAGGCAGGTCTCCCCCATCTGCTGCTTGTCTTACCGTCATAACACCTGTAAAGATAGATAGGTGTTGTGTTATAGCTGATGCATACACATAGATTTTTTTTTTTTAGATTGCCCCTGAGGGGGCTAGTTTATTGGGCACCCCCTTACATCCTGTGCAAAGTTAAGCGCAGAAGCGTTTACAGCGCCAATCTGGAAAGCATGCGGAGTTCATGCTTGCCTTTATGACTCATGCATTAAGGGCGTAAAAGCCTGAAGGGTCATGGGTTTCGTCAGCAAGTTACATAAAGTGAGAGAATGATGAGTGTGTGGGGGAAAATTTCCCTGTACAATATATCTGTTTATGGCAAAGCGTGGCAGGTCCCTAATAATGTCAAGTGCCAGGCCATAGGCATTGGCAATGTTGAGGGGTATACCTTTCAGTGTGATTGTGATGGTATGTACGTCGGTAGTGTCGGCTTCAAGGGGGACGTCGAGAGGGTAGTAGGGGACGTCCTTCTTGGCGTAGATACGTAGTCCACTAGCATGTCCGCATGGTGGTCAATTGATATGGAGAACTGGCGTGGATGGGCCCTAGGTGCCAGTTTGCCGGTGGGGGACGTGGAGCCGGAGGTGGTGTCCTCGGGTTCATGAGCGCGCAGTGGGTGGACGGGGGCAGCCGGGCATGGGGCAGGCTCTGTGTGGACGCCAGCAGTGGTGCTAGGCGGCTGTGGAGTAGGCCGTGAGCATGAGGGGCACACAGGGGGGCTACCAGGATGTGCCAAACCAGAAGAGGGGGGTGACTGGGTAGCAGCTGGAGGCAGGGGTAGTCTGTGTAGGTTGGAGATGACGGTACAGAGTGTATCAAAGAGCCTTTCAATACGGTTGGTAAATTCGTGTAAGAGGGATATGATCTGTGTCGTGTCACCGGAGGGGGGTTGTGGGGGGACACCTGTGGGAGCACAAGGCCTGACAGCATCAGAGTAGAGACAAAGAGAAAGCCCAGTAGTAGTTGAGTTAGGAGACGGCTGGGACTGCTGTGTTGCAGCCAGGTGAGGCCAGGCAGGGGCAGGTGTTGTTGAAAAAGGTGTTCCTGGAGACAGAGGGGATGCAGAGGGCTGTGGCTCGGTAGGCTGGGGGAGAGGTAGAGGGTGACGCAGCCTTCGGGGAGGCTTTTCTCCTGGGACGGAGGGACGTTTGGGGCATTGTCGTGAGTCAGCATTGTGCCAGCCACCACAATTATAACACCTGGGGTCAACAACATAGCCCACACCACCCCCATTGAGGTGGTCTTTGATTTTTGGGGCACAGAGGGAGAAGTGATGGTTACGTGAACAGAAGCGACATCTGGGACGATCACGTCGGCAGCAGGCGGTGAAGGTGTGACCCCAATGGGAGCAGATGACACAAAAGGCAGGCCCTGGGTGATAGATTTCTGCGGGCAGGGGAGGGAGGACTGGGTGGGCATCAACTATGACAGCTGCTTGTGGGGTCTTCCCTCGGTAGTGTTGACATATACTGAGTATACATGGATTAAAGTTACGAACATCTTCGACTTCAGCGTATAGGGGGAACTGTTTAACTAGGATGTGGCAACATTCCGCTGTGTCAGCAGGAGAAGGCACGAGGACAACCCCATCAAATCCAACAGTACTGAGTGTTTCATAGACCTCGGGTGTTTGACACTTGATAAAGTTACTGTTCTTATCTTTTCGGAATTGAATGGTGAGACCGTGTTGTCTCCAATACTTTGTTGTCCAATTAAACCGTTCCTCGACGGTTTTCAATGAGTCCTTAGGGAAGTGCATATGCAATTTACTTGGTTGGTTGGCAGAGGGGTGGGTGGCGAAGGGAAGCTCGCTGCCCTTGGCATTGGTGTTGCCACTCCAGCAAGTGTTTCCCATAGAAACATTACTGTTACTGTCACTATCACTGAGGTCTGACTCTTGCAGGGTGTGGGATGCACTATGACTATCCGTCTCAGAAATGTCTGTATCCATGAGAGAGGGGACGCCTGTTCTGGGGCGCTTATGTCGACCCCACCCCACCATCGCTGGCAACACTTGCCGGCAAAGGGGTAGCCCTTGTGTGACGATCGGGAGGACAGGAGCACCTATGGGCACACGTCTGTCCTCTTATGTGGTCAGACCGCGACTGCACACACACACACACACACACACACATCCTTGACTACCGTAGGGTAGAGACCTATTCAGGTGCTGCTCCCTTGGCCATTGTTCGGCCCATTCCTCAAGTCCCTCTCCCCGACCCACCCTCACCACCGGGATATCAACATAATCAAAAGTGACAATTTCGTTTCGGAAAGAAGTGGGATCAGTGTTGAACAGTGATGAACAGTGTTTAAGCCAGTGAATTCAGCACTAGACAGTACTAGTGAGAACCGTGACCCACCAGTGGGAACTGACCGCCGTCTTCTGACCAGGAGGTGCTATTCAGTCCACCATGGGAACAACAGAGGGCCGGCCGGCTATGCACCTGACTACGAGATAGCACAACACCATCCAGAACGGCGAGTTACTGTGACACCACCCAATACCACCCGGTGACCCCATGACCACGTGAGGTCCTTCATATCAACACCCGAGGACGAGTTACTGCACCACGTGAACACCACACCACCCGGTGTCCCTATGACCACGTGAGGTCCTTCACATCAACACCCGAGGACGAGTTACTGCACCACGTGAACACCACACCACCCGGTGACCCCATGACCACGTGAGGTCCTTCATATCAACACCCGAGGACGAGTTATTGCACCACGTGAACACCACACCACCCGGTGTCCTCATGGCCACATGAGGTCCTTCATATCAAAACCCGAGGACGAGTTACTATACCACGTGAAGACCACACCACCTGGTGTCTCCATGACCAGCCCAGGCCCGGGCCATCAACTGTAAACTAATAATTTGTATGTTCAATCATTGTTCCTTCTCCTTTCAGTAATGAAAGCTTTTGTTAAACGACCCACCCACCCCATGTCTTTGTATATAATAAGTCATTTTTGTCCAATGTATATTTTCAGCCTTCGGGCTGCTGAACTTTTTCAATAAACCGTTAATTATTAATATTATTATTTATTATTTTACACACACACACACACACACACACACACACACACACACACACACACACACACACACACACACACACTCACACTCACCATCATCAAATTCAGATGGAACAAGACGTGTGAAGGAAGTGAAAGCAGCTCCTGTCTCTGGGTTTCTAAGATTATTACAGGTGCCATCTTGGTTTCTAAAACGTCTCTCGGGATCACAAGGTTCTCTCTTTGGTCTCATTCTCTCGTCTTCACAATTCTTCGGGGCTTTCAACTTCTGTATGAGATAGTTCAGCTGATTTCTGTCCAAGTTGTACCTGAAGTTATGAGTTATGATCTTAGTTGTGATGTTTGGTAGAGGTTTTGTGTGTATGTGTGTGTGTGTGTGTGTGTTTACGGGAGGCGTTAACCCTTTAGAGTGCAGAGGTTTGTTCCAACTGAATAAAATCGTCTGGCGTTAATCAGAATAAAATTGCTAAGTGCGCTGCTCCCCTCTAAAGGGTTTATGGTGTGTCTGTACAGGTACGTAGAAGTGTCAGTAAATAACATATGTGTGATGAAGAGCAGCGTTCACCAGTTATAAACCAATCACATATATGACCCACATGAGACAGATAGGCAGACAGAGAGAAAGATAGGCAAACAGACAGGTAGACAGACACACACACACATATAGGACAAAGACTCTCACTTCTTAGCTATCCTGGCCGTACAGTCGTCCACAATGTGACCCGTACGAGAGAGCGCTTTTGAGGTTGGTCTAGGCATGTTGTTCAGTACTTGGTGATCATAAGAGGACGAGTTCCTCTTCAAACTCAGGCCTCTGTTCTTCAGCAGCTCCTCAAGTTTGATCTGCTTATTGAACATTGAGACACCGAAGGCGAAGGCTTCTCTGTAAGGAAAAGGTGCGTTGTTAGATAAGGAGAGAGAGAGATAGTGACTGAGAGAGATATAGTATGTGAGGAAGAAAGACAGGGTGATTCAGGGAGAGATACAAGCTACAGTGCATTAACACATCTCAAACACACTTACTGGATGTCACTGGCGGTGATGTCAGGTAGGGGCCTGATAGGGTGAGGCAGTGTGCTGTTGTCGTCTGAGGAGAGAGAAGAATGTGTTATTCCATATCTCTTGGGTGTTTCTGTACACTACTACTACTACTTTGCTGTCACTCGGAATCGAGTATGATAATCATCCAGCTATGATACAATGATATGAGTTATTAAGGATGTTACCTAGGTTGGTGAGTTTTTAAGTGACTAAAGAGGCTGATACGGGACCGGAAGGGTCGTTCACAGAAGTTGCAAATGTGGATGGCTCCATCTAGTGCAGGAGGGTCGACGGCAGCGTTTTTCCGGCGTTGGCGCTTGCCTGCCTAGGATTGCAGTCGGGTTAATTCGAAGGTATTGACACCTTCTCCCGTGGTGCTTCTCCAAGCGTTATGGTGTGGAGTGATCGTCTCTCAGGTGAGGGGGTCGATTTGGCACTTATTCAGGTTTGTCTTAAGACTATCCTTATACCTTTTCACTTGCCCGCCAGCATTACGTTTACTATTCGTTAGGTGACTGTAAAGTAACTGCTTTGGTAGTCTACTATCGTCTATGCGGATAACATGGCCAGTCCAACATAGTTATTCATGGATAATGGTAGCCTCGATGCTCCTACAGTTGGCGTCAGCAAGAATACTGGCATTTGTTCTCTTGTCTTCCCAGCGAACTCGGAGGATGGAACGTACACTACGTTGGTGAAAGTTTTCAAGTGCCTTGAGTTGCCTCCTGTATGTGACCCATACCTCACTGCCATATAGCAGGGTGGGGAGGACCACTACTCGATATACGTGGAACTATGTAGATAATTTTAACTCCCTACAGCTGAAGACACGTGTACGGCGTCTGCCAAAGGCTTGAGATGCACATATGATCCAATGTTGAATCTCTTCATCGATCTCTGCAGTGGTGGACAGATGGGAGCCGAGACACTGAAAGTGGGTAACATTAGAGAGGGTAGTACCGTTAAGCTGGATGGATGGTAGAGGTGTGGCTGAACCAGGGGCTGGCTGAAAGAGAATCTGAGTCTTACGCACATTCACCTCAAGGCCGAAGTGTGCATACGCATCTGCATAGGTGTTTAGAATCACCTGTAGGTCACGTTTAGTATGAGCGACAAGGGTGAGGTCGTCTGTATACTGAAATTCAGTAATAGAAGTTGCTGACACCTTTGTTCATGCCTGAAGTCGTCTTATTTTGAAAAGATCCCTATGTCCACCCCGCAAGCTAAGTTGGCGCTGGCACGAGTAAGGAAGGCAGCCAAGAAAATGGAAAAGAGAATTGGCGCCAGTACACATCCTTGTTTTACCCCCGTTTGAATGGGGAAGAACTCAGACTGGGTGCCATTGAACAGGACACTGCCATTCATGCCGTCAAGGAGTTGCTTCACAATGGCTATGAATTTTGGTGGGTAGCCAAACCGGCTGAAGGTCCGCCAGAGGGCTTCCCTGTTGATCGAGTCGAAAGCCTTGATTTGGTCGTTAAATGCCATGTACAGGTCAAGACGCTGTTCTCTACACTTTTTCTGTATCTGGCGGGCAGCAAAGATCATGTCAACCGTGCTACGTGATGGTCTAAACTCTAAAGCCACATTCAGATTCTGGGAGGAAGTTTCCCTCCTCAGGAAGAAGTCTGTTTAGGAGGACTCGAGTAATATTTTTGCCAACTACGGAGAGCAACGAGATCCCACGGTAGTTGCGACAGTCTCACTGGTCTCCCATCTTCTTATGAATATTGACGATGGAAATGTCTTTAAGAGTTTGGGGGATTTCCTCCTTTTCCCATATATTCTCCAGTAGATGGTAGAGATGTCTGGTAAGCAGAAGTCCTCCTGCTTTATACACCTCGGCTGGGATCCCAACAGGCCTTGAGGCTTTGTAATTTTCCATTTGTTTGTTCGCAGTAGCAACCTCATCCAGGAATGGAGGATAGCTGAGGTGGATCAGCTTTTCTGGATGCTGAGTGACCTGCTGGGTAGTCAGGACATCCACATCGTTGTTTCGGTTAGGCAGAGAATGGTAATGTTCTTTCCAGCGGTGAAGGAGGCCTTCTCCATCTTTAATTTGGGAATTACCATCGGATGAGTGGAGTAGAATGGAAAAAATCGTGCATCTTGTGTTGATCTGCAAGTTTTTGCATTGCACATGCTTTACTTTTACACCAGTCGTTCTTTAGATTGCAAAGTTCGCAGTGGGCTGCCGCTTTCTTCTTACAGAATGTATCAGCTTTGGTCCGAGATTGACGGTGGTTCTGCCAGGCAGTTAAAGCAACATGTTTATCGTCGATGAGTACATTGATTTGCAGGTCATTTTTATCAAACCAGTCCTTGTGTATTCTTTCTATCTGGCCGAGGGTCTCTCTGCAGGTTTTTGTCATGACAGTGCCGCGAATACTCCATTCTGTACTGGGATTTGGGTTGTATTTTTGTCGGGTCGTTTATCAGTCCTTGTTCGAGCTGCTCTCTGAAAGCATGTGCTACCGCTGGGTCCTTCAGATGCTTAGTGTTAAAACCGCTTCTGGAGGCATGTTGCCTTTGCCGTTTTGGTGCGACATGAAATAAGAGCTTAGCACTGACAAGCCTATGATCAGTGTTGCAGTGGTTTGAGCCACGCATGGCTCGAGTCATGAGGACATCTCGGAGATCTCTTTCCTTGACAATGATATCGTAAATGAGATGCCAGTGTTTGGATCGTGGGTGTTGCCACGAACCCTTGAACTTGTCAGCGTGCCTAAACAAGGTATTGGTGACAGAGAGGTGTGCAGCACACTTACTGAGGAGTAGGCCATTGGAATTACACTTGCCTAGTCCATTTCTCCCTATGGTTCCCTGCCAAATGTCATCATCTCTGCCAACTCTGGCATTGCAGTCACCTAGGAGCACAACCTTATCTTCTTTGGGGATAGAGGTCAGGATTCTGCCAAGGTCGGCATAAAAGGCCTCCTTGATGGTATCCTCTGCATCCACTGTTGGTGAGTTTGCACTGACGAAGAAGGCATGACGTGATTGATTCAGTTGGAGTCAGATTTTCATGAGGCGCTCGCTGATCCCATCAGGCATTTCAGTTTGCCGAGGAAGGATGCATTGGCGGATGGCAAAGCCAACTCCATAAATGTGATCTCTTTTCACAGCAGGGTTACCCTTCCAGAAGAAAGGTATGGCCAGACCCCCGTTCTGTGAGTGGACCCTCGTCTGGTAACCGGCACTCACTCATGGCAGTTTTTCTTTCAGGACGATTCATTTGTGCCAGTATCCAGAAGGGTCCTGATATTCCATGCAGCAACCATAAGAGGTTGTATAGTCTGTTTTTGTTTGATCTGTGATTATAATTGTGTTTTCGACTGTATAAGGATGACTTTACTGGGTACGGTTGCCCAGTCAGGTTGGTTCTTTAGGGAGGGTATTGTTTAGGGCACCTTTTCTTGCCCCCTGCCCATGTAGGGTAAGCAGAGTGGCTGCTCAGTCTCACAGACAGGACCGGCTTGCACTGCTGCCTAGATCCCAGTGCATAAACGACCATCTTATCTGTGTCACCCATGTGCAGAGTTGTGACTAGAGACTCCCGGCAGTCATCCCTGCCTGTCCCCATCCCCACTCTTCCATTGCCGTAGGACTTTTGGGGGTATAGAGGTTTTGATGATGATGAGGAGCATGAGCTGGATGTTGGTTGCACGTGAATTGATTTATAAGGTGAGGCAGGAGCACAGGCTGCAACCACACATCTTGGCTCTTCTTTTTCCTGATCCAGTGGTGCAAGTGTTGCAACGACTGGAGAGATGGAGAGTTGCAATGGACTGCCGATAGCCCAGTTTTTTGGGTTTCACCTTAGTAGCCTGTCCATGGTGCATTGCGTTCGTCCGCCAGTGTAGTCGTTGGGTTCCATGTTGGTCACCTCTTCTGGTTATCCTGCCGTTGGGACCTTGTTGGAGCTCTGTAAGCTTGTCTGCCTGATGCAGGGCTCCACCACAGATTTTTTGTTTGGGGTTTTCTCCCGTAGCCTTATACCTACCAAGGTTAATCCACAACGCAGTGGGGCAATAGTTGGTAGGCGATAGGACGTGCCCATATGTCAGTGGGTCTATGCACCTCCCTTCTGGGGCTCAGTGCTGCTTCGAGATCCCCTGCTGGTCTAGCCTGGGCCCCCGAGGCACCCAGTTACCCTGTGTTGTCACGAGGGGGCACAGCAGAAGTCTTGATGGTAAAGAGGCTGTGTACTGGCAGGGAAGGACAAGGCAAGTTGCTTCCCTGATCGCCACGAGGGCTAGCCAGCGGCGGTAGCTGAAAGCGAGAGGAAGCAAGCAGTGTTTGCACGTTGACACTAACACCCAACCATTGTAAAAATTATCAATAACTTGTAATAAACCACTGTATTCACTCCCAGTAAATCCTACTTCTTGCACTCTTACTATGTTGAAATGCCCTGTAGTTTGAGCTTTTCCCCATCTAGTTATTATATATCTTATTAGTATCACTTCTGTTACTTGTATATTATTTGTAAATCGAAACCCATTCCCCAATTATGTAACTGTATATTTTCAGCCTTCTGGCTGCTATGCTCTTGCAATAAACCGTTAATTATTATTATTATTATTATTATTATTATTATTATTATTATTATTATTATTATTATTATTATTATTATTATTATTATTATTATTATTATTATAATGCTGTCACACTAGACGCATTATGCCACCCTGTGCGCGCGCACACACATACACACACATTATTCACCTAATCTTGGCCAAGTTAAGCTCAGCAGTTTCTCCAGGTTAGCATCAGGTGGCAGGAGAGACAGGTCAACATCAGGGGTCTTTAAGAACAAAGGTGTTGGTCCCTCACAGGTGAACCCAGGCGTGATGACTGGCGGCTGATATCTACCCATGAGCATAGAGACGACTGGTAGCACAGTCAGGTTCATCATGGTGGCGGACTGTGGGAGAGAGATAGTGAGAGATGAATGAGAGATGGTTGATAGAACAGTCAGGTTTATCATGGTGGCGGACTGTGGGAGAGAGATAGTGAGAGATGAATGAGAGATGGTTGATAGAACAGTCAGTTTTATCATGGTGGCGGACTGTGGGAGAGAGATATAGAGAGATGGATGAGAGATGGCTGATAGAACAGTCAGGTTTATCATGGTGGCGGACTGTGGGAGAGAGATACTGAGAGATGAATTATATATATATATATATATATATATATATATATATATATATATATATATATATATATATATATATATATATATATATATATATATATATATATATATATATATATATACACGATAACAAGAGCACTGTGTATTCCAAAAACAACCTTGGGTCCTCATCTTCTTATGTTACTTACTGGATAGTCCAGACCCCGACGCGGGTAACTAATCTTGACTCAATCTCATCCGCAGTATCATGTTCGTACCCACCCAACGCCCACAGGAGCTTTTAATGTATTACGCTTGCCAGCACTGCACCAGCACTCTTGCTCAATCCCGCTCCATTCAAGAGATGTTTTGGGTATAGCAAGGTCTATAGGAGAATTCATCCTAAACCTGACCCAGAATGAGACTGCCCTCTCTGTTACATAATGCTTGCTAATTGTGTAGTGTTTGGGTATAATTCTTTGTTCAAGCGAGAGGGAAATATTCACTTCCATAAATTTCCTAAAGATGAAAACTAAGATATAGTGGCTTAACCTCTTCAAAGGAAAAGACAACGTCAATACTGCTAATGCTCTGATATGCTCGGTGGGCATTGAACAGCACTGCCAGAGGCTGACAAATACTGCAGTCCATAGTAAAACTATTTTGTTGACTATTGAGTATAATATTATAGATTTTTCAAAAGTTTACAATAAATTTAGCACTAGAGATTCCGTAAATCATGTCAAAAGCAAATAAATCTCTTCGCCCAAGTAGTGTTGTATAATGAATTGAAAAGTATGTCAGCCTCTGGCAATGAATTTTCAGGTCACTCTCCCCCTTCTCCCTCTCCCCTTCCTCTTATCCCTCTCCTCTCCTCTACTCCCCACTCCCCTACCCCCCACTCCCCTTCTCCTCTTCTCCCCACTACCTCTCTCTCCCCATTCCCTTTCCCCCTCTCTCTTATTTTTCTCTCTCTTTCTCTATTCGCCTTTGCCCTATCTGTCAAAGGAACATTAATAATTGCAGACAAGTCAGCGGCTGTCATCAGAGATACACGTGCTGAGAGAAGAGGCCAAAAGAGGATTGTGCAAGAAATTGAGTCTACAGTACATGGGCACCTGATGTATGCCAGAGCAAAAACCTGAGGAAGAGAGATCAGTTCTGATCACTGAGGATCGACAACGACAACTGGATAAGGAGGGAGAGATGCTCTTCTCAATGAAGACATAGAGAATGGGAGGAGGAGAGGATTTATCTGCATGAACAGATTATAAAATGCCTTTATTAGGTCTACTGGAACTACTAAAGGGGTGTTACATGCAGTTCTGCAACTGTTGTACCATAAATGTGAGTCTATGGATGACCGTGAACGTGCTTTATCTTTTGATAAAACAAGTGTCACTAAAGGTAGCACTTGTCATGTGAAGTCATAATTCCTATCACATCATGTCTACATTATTAATATAATGAGCACAGCAGGGAGGAAAAGGTGTCCTTTAGTTATAATATACCTATCTTATGTTGCACTTATGTAAATACTGTGTTCATAGCTAAAACGATTTTTTTTAACCTTTCTTTCTCTGGTACTGCATATATATTCTGCATCACTCACTGCACTGATTGGTGTCCTTATCTAAAGCTATATGCAAGATTAGACACTCTACTAGTATTATTGTATACGTGTACCCCTGGTGGATAATGTGCCACGGGTGGGGCACGCTAACGCCTGCGCTACACACTGAGGTGTAAAAGTGAGCGGGACTCCAGAGTTACTGGTATTTCTCGAAGAACTCGTTCACCCCACCTCATCTCGGCGTGGATAAAGATCGACAAAAGTACATACATTTGTCGATCTTTAGCTCAAGTTGCATTAATTTTTATGTCAGATACTGAGATAACAAAGTACAGTATGTGGAACAATAAATGTTCCAGTTATCAAGAACATAAGAACATAAGAATAGAGGAAACTGCAGCGGGCCTATTGGCCCATACTGGGCAGACTCATTTACACCCAGCCCCTATTGCTCATATATCCATCCAACCTATGTTTGAAACTATCCAGCGTATTCGAGTTAATGATGATATTTGGTAACTTGTTCCACTCGTCCACTACTCTATTTCCAAACCAATTTTTACCTCTTTCGCGCCTAAATGTAAATTTGTCTAATTTATAACCATTGTTACGAGTTCCCTCCTGGTTGGATAGTTTGAGTACCTTTGTAATGTCCCCTTTGGTCAGCCCTGACTTCCATTTATACACCTCTATCATATCGCCCCTCACTCTACGTCTCTCGAGGGAGTGCAAATTAAGATGCTTTAACCTGTCTCTGTACTCAAGGTTCCTAATGCCCGGGATTGGTCTTGTCATTCTCCTCTGAATTCCTTCCAAGGATTCTATATCCATTCTGTAATACGGTGGCCAGAATTGAACTGCGTAATCCAAGTGAGGTTTCACAAGTTTAAGATATAGTCTTAGGATGACCTCGCTAGTCTTGTAACTAACACTCCTTTGTATGAACCCAAGTACTTCATTAGCCTTGTTTCGAGCAAATACACATTGTTTACTTGGCTGAAGATTCCTACTTATCATTTCTCAATAACATCGTTGTTCATCTGGTATCTGGTTTCCCTGTTTACATCTCCTATACTGAGTACTTTACATTTGTCCACATTAATTTCATCTGCTATTTTTCAGACTATTCGAATTTTTTTTAGATTTTCCTGTAGATTTGCGGAATCCACGTCAGATTTAATTACACGCCCTATTTTAGCGTCGTCAGCATATTTACTTATGTTGCTGTCTACGCCTATATCTATGTCGTTTATGTATATAATAATTAATAATGGTCCAAGTACTGAGTCTTGGGGAACTCCACTAGTGACGTTGCTCCAATCGGATTTAATGCCGTTAATGCTCACTCGCTGTTTCCTGTCCTGTAACCACGCCCTAATCCATTTTAGAACATCTCCTTTAATGCCATGGGCCTCCACTTTTCTTATTAGTCTTTCGTGGGGGACTCTGTCGAAGGCTTTGCTTAAGTCGAGATATACCACATCATAGTCGTGCCCCTCGTCCACTGATTGGAAAACAGCTGAAAAGAATGTTAATAGATGAGTTAGACATGAACGCCCTCTTGTGAAGCCATGTTGGGAATCATTGACCAACTTGTGCTTCTCACAAGACACACACACCACACTGTTACTCACAAGACAGGCACACTACACTGTTACTCACAAGACACACACACACCACACTGTTACTCACAAGACACACACACTACACTGTTACTCACAAGACACACACATACCACACTGTTACTCACAAGACATGCACACCACACTGCTACTCACAAGACACACACACCACACTGTTACTCACAAGACACACACACCACACTGTTACTCACAAGACAGGCACACCACACTGTTACTCACAAGACACACACACCACACTGTTACTCACAAGACAGGCACACCACACTGTTACTCACAAGACAGGCACACCACACTGTTGCTCACAAGACACACACACCACACTGTTACTCATAAGACATACACACACATTGTTACTACAAGACAGCACACCACACTGTTACTCACAAGACACACACACCACACTGTTACTCACAAGACACACACTCCACACTGTTACTCAAAGGACACACACCACACTACACTGTTACTCACAAGACACACACACACACACCACACTGTTACTCAAAAGACACCCTTCCACATTACACTGTTACTCACAAGACAAACACACCACACTACATGTATTACTCACAAGACACACACCACACTGTTACTCAAAAGATACCCTTCCACACTACACTGTTACTCACAAGACACACACACCACACTGTTACTCAAAAGACACCCTTCCACACTACACTGTTACTCACAAGACACACACACACCACACTGTTACTGAAAAGACACACACACCACACTACATGTATTACTCACAAGACACACACACCACACTCTGTTACCACAAGACACACACCACACTATTACTCACAAGACACACACACCACACTGTTACTCACAAGACACACACACACCACACTGCTACTCACAAGACACACACACACCACACTGTTACTCACAAGACACACACACACACCACACTGTTACTCACAAGACACACACACACCACACTGCTACTACAAGACACACACACCACACTGCTACTACAAGACACACACACACCACACTGTTACTCACAAGAACACACACACACCACACTGCTACTACAAGACACACACACACCACACTGTTACTCACAAGACACACACACACCACACTGTTACCACAAGACACACACACACACCACACTGTTACTACAAGACACACACACACCACACTGCTACTCACAAGACACACACACCACACTGTTACTCACAAGACACACACACACCACACTGCTACTCACAAGACACACACACCACACTGTTACTCACAAGACACACACACACCACACTGCTACTCACAAGACACACACACACCACACTGTTACTCACAAGACACACACACCACACTGTTACTCACAAAGACACACACACCACACTGTTACCACAAGACACACACACACCACACTGCTACTCACAAGACACACACACCACACTGCTACCTCACAAGACACACACACACCACACTGTTACTCACAAGACACACACACACCACACTGCTACTCACAAGACACACACACACCACACTGTTACTCACAAGACACACACACACCACACTGTTACTCACAAGACACACACACACACACTGTTACTACAAGACACACACACACACACACTGCTACTCACAAGACACACACACCACACTGTTACTCACAAGACACACACACACACCACACTGTTACTCACAAGACACACACACCACACTGTTACTCACAAGACACACACACACCACACTGTTCCTCACAAGACACACACACACCGCACTGTTACTCACAAGACACACACACACACCACACTGTTACTCACAAGACACACACACCACACTGTTACTACAAGACACACACACACCACACTGTTACTCACAAGACACACACACACACCACACTGTTACTCACAAGACACACACACCACACTGTTACTACAAGACACACACACCACACTGTTACTCACAAGACAGGCACACCACACTGTTACTACAGACACACACACCACACTGTTACTCAAGACACACACACCACACTGTTACTCACAAGACACACACACCACACTGTTACTCACAAGACAGGCACACCACACTGTTACTCACAAGACAGGCACACCACACTGTTACTCACAAGACACACACACCACACTGTTACTCTCACAAGACACACACACCACACTGTTACTCATAAGACACACACACCACACTGTTACTACAAGACACACACACCACACTGCTACTCACAAGACACACACACCACACAGTTACTCACAAGACACACACACCACACAGTTACTCACAAGACACACACACCACACTGTTACTCACAAGACACACACACACTACACAAGTTTAAGACACACACACCACACTGCTATTACAAGACACACACACACCACACTGTTACTCACAAGACAGGCACCACACTGTTACTCACTGCAGACACCACCAACAGTAGGTAGGTAGGTAAGAAGTGCTCAGTGTCACCACAACAACTGAGGCAGCATTCGAACAAGGAAGAGTGTAAATTATTCAATCCAGGTGATGCCACGTGAGTGTGTGTGTGTGTGTGAGTGTGTGTGTGTGTGTGTGTGTGTGTGTGTGTGTGTGTGTGTGTGTGTGTGTGTTGTTGTGAACGTGTCTTCTTGTTTGTAAAGTGTGCTTTACATGTGTGAGTGCGTATTTGTGTGCACTCATAAATAAGTGTACACATGTGTGTGTGTGTGTATGTGTGTGTATAATAATAATATTATAAAATAATAATAATAATATTAATATTATTATTATTATTATTATTATTATTATAATAATATAATTAACGATATATTGAAAAGCAACCGGAGACTCAATATGCACAATGGACAAAAAATGACTTACAGTCAGAGTTGTAAAGTAATTAAATAAATTTACTTGAGTATTGTACTTAAGTAACAATTTTGGGTATGTACTTTTTAAATAAGTACTAACAATTGTTAGGACTTTTACTTTTACCTAAGTATGGTTTTCAAATACTTTTGCTCCAATACAATTGAAAACAAAATCGTTACTCGTAAACTAATGATTCTTAATTAATTAATTAAACTATTTATTATTAACCATAGTAAAAGAGTTGCGGGTGGAGGGTATGGCGTGGGTGGAGCCGTGGAGGGTACGGTGTGGGTGGAGCCGTGGAGGGTACGGCGGGGTGGAGCCGGAGGTACGGTGTGGGTGGGAGGAAGGTAGCGGCGTGGTGGAGCGTGGAGGGTACGGTGTGGGTGGAGCGAAGGGTACGGCGTGGGTGGAACCGTGAAGGGTACGGTGTGGGTGCAGCCGTGAAGGGTACGGCGTGGGTGGAACCATGAAAGGTACGGTGTGGGTGGAGCCGTGGAGGGTACGGTGTGGGTGGAGCCGGAGGGTACGGTGTGGGTGGCACCGTGAAGGTTACGGTGTGGGTGGAGCCGTGGAGGGTAACGGCGTGGGTGGAACCGTGAAGGGTACGGTGTGGTGGAGACGAGGGTATGGTGTGGGTGGAGCCGTGAAGGGTACGGCGTGGGTGGAACCGTGAAGGGTACGGTGTGGGTGGAGCCGTGGAGGGTACGGCGTGGGTGGAACCGTGAAAGGTACGGTGTGGGTGGAGCCGTGGAGGTACGGTGTGGGTGGAGCAGTGAAGGGTAGCGGTGTGGGTGGAGCCGTGAAGGGTACGCGGGTGGAACCGTGAAGGTACGGTGGGTGGAGCCGTGGAGGTGGCGAGTGGGTGGCACCGTGAAGGGTACGGTGGGTGGAGCCGTGGAGGGCGGTGTGGGTGGAGCCGTGAAGGGTACGGCGTGGTGGAACCGTGAAGGGTACGGTGTGGGTGGAGCTGTGGAGGGTACGGTGGGTGGAGCCGTGGAGGGTACGGCGTGGGTGGAACCGTGAAAGGTACGGTGTGGGTGGAGCCGTGGAGGGTACGGTGTGGTGGAGCCGTGAAGGGTACGGGTGGGTGGCACCGTGAAGGGTACGGCGTGGGTGGAGCCGAAGGTACGGTGTGGGTGGAGCCGTGAAGGGTACGGTGTGGGTGGAGCCGTGACAGGTACGGCGTGGGTGGAACCATGAAGGGTACTGTGTGGGTGGAGCCGTGAAGGGTACGGTGTGGGTGGAGCCGTGGAGGGTACGGTGTGGGTGAGCCGTGAAGGGTACGGGTGTGGGTGGAGCCGTGAAGGGTACGTGTGGGTGGCACCGTGAAGGGTACGGCGTGGGTGGAGCGTGAAGGGTAACGGTGTGGGTGGAACCGTGAAGGGTACGGTGTGGGTGGAGCCGAAGGTACGGTGTGGGTGGAGCTGTGGAGGGTACGGTGTGGGTGGAGCCGTGAAGGGTACGGTGTGGGTGGCACCGTGAAGGGTACGTTGTGGGTGGAGCCGTGAAGGGTACGTTGTGGGTGGAGCCGTGAAGGGTACGGTGTGGTGACTTCAATGCCAGAGTTGGCAAAGATGCTGGCATTTGGCAGAGAATCATAGGAAGAAATGGACTAAGCAATTGTAATCCCAACGGCCTACTCCTCCTCAGCAAGTGTGCTGCACGCAATCTCACTATCACCAATACCTTGTTTTCGCAGGCCGACAAGTTCAATGGTTCGTGGCAACACCCACAATCCAAACACTGGCATCTCATTGACTACATCATTGTTAGAGACAGAGATCGCAGAGATGTCCTTATCACCCTGAGCCATGCGTGGCTCAGACCACTGCGACACTGATCATCGGCTTGTCAGAGCCAAGTTCTTACTTCATGTCACTCCAAAACGGCGAAGGCAACAAGCCTCCAGAAGAGGTCTTAACACTAAGCGTGATCCAGCAGCAACACATGCTTTCAGAGAGCAGCTCGAATATGGGCTGATAAACAACCAGACAACAAGCAACCCAAATCCCAGTGCCGAATGGGGTATTCTCGACACTGTCCTGACAAAAAAAAAGCAGAGAGGACCTCGGCCAGATCGAAATAATACACCAGGACTAGTTAGATGAAAATGACCCGGAAATCAATGTACTCATCGATGATAAATGTGCTACTTTAACTGACTCACTGAACAACCCTTAGTCTCGGACCAAAGCTGATACCTTCTGCAAGAAGAAAGAGGTGGCCCAGCGCGAACTTTGCAAACTAAAGAACGACTGGCTTAAAAATAAAGCATCTGAAACGCAAAGACTTACACATTAACACAAAATGCGCGAATTTTTCAATTTCACTAAAACATTTTATGGGCCAATCAGTCATGGTGCAGCCCCTGTCGGCTCACCCGACGGTAACTCCCTAAATTAAAGACGAAAAAGGCCTCCTTCAGCGCTGGAAAGAGCACTAACATTCGTTGCTCAACCGAAACACCGATGTGGATGTCCTGACTACCCAGCAGGTCCCTCAGCATCCAGAGTTGACACATCTCAGCTATCCTCCATCCCTGGATGAGGTAGCTACTGCCATCAAGCAGATGAAAAATAACAAATTCCCCGGGCGTGATGGAATCCCAGCCGAGGTATATAAAGCAGGAGGACCTCTGCTTTCCAGCCGTCTCCACTCTCTCCTGGAGAATATATGGGAAAACGAGAAAGTCCCCCAAGTTTTTAAAGACGCTTCCATCGTCGATATTTATAAAAACAAAGGTGACCGGTCAGACTGTGGCAACTACCGTGGGATCTCGCTGCTATCCGTAGCTGGCAAGATTATCGCCCGAGTCCTCCTAAACAGACCTCCTTCTAAGGCGGAAAACCTCCTCCTAGAATCTCAATGTGGCTTTAGACCATCACGTGGTATACTGCTAGATTCTGGGGTCACTAATTCTAAGGGGATAACTTAACTCTATTCTTAATTTTAAGGTCGCTGCCACCAGACCCCCCCCCTGGACAATATGTAGCTCGTTAGGTAGCGGGCAGAGTAAGCTAGGCATTGGTTTGGGTTTTTCATTGACCAAATCGATAGTGGGAAGAAGGGTGAAATATCATGCATGTCTTAACAAATTTATTCCTTATAAAACATATTGCATCCGGTCAAAATACAGGAAGAGTTGGCCTTCCTCAGATGAACAACTATGATTTTAGTCACACTGCCCATCAATACACGTCTTACATCAACTGCATATCATTAACATGCTCATTCTTCATAACAATCACTGACCTCCTTACCTCGGTCATTCCTTCTTACCATAACATCCAACACATCTGACTGCTCCACCTGTTAGAGTATAGCACCACATGTTACATCATAGCACCACATCCCGGGTACACTCCACACCTACAAGTATGGAACTCCTCGATATTTCTAGGTACACATACCAAGTACCTCGTTCACACACTACTCTTGATGAGTAGAGAGGGGCTACTTCACAAGTAACTATACCAGTACTGTTCCCACGCCTGGTATTCTAGGTCGCTCCAAGTGGCGACCGGGAATCTTCTCAAACATACTATTATGTGCTCCTATTCCTGGGTGGTGATATGCAGGGAATCCACAGGTTCACAGTGGAGGAGCATAACGGTGTACAGTCACCTCACATGGTGCGGCCCTCACAGGGGAGTAATGGCCGACGTTCAGAAGACGCTCAGAATGCGCGGTACCTGTTTGGTTGAAGAGGGCGGTACGAATGAGAAATAATGCCTGATGGGCCGTTATCACCCACCCTCACACATTACTACTTCACTTTATAACATAAGGCAAGGTTTTAAGATGTAAAATACTGCTAAATAAGTCTTTTTAGGGTTGGATGGAGCACGTTGTAGGGCACTGACCTGTTTGGTTGAAGAGGGCGGTACGAATGAGACCTGACGCCTCCCTCTTTCCCCTGAGGTAGGCCTAGAGTTTCCAATTTTTAATTTTCACTTTGAATTCGTATGGTTCTCACATCTCCGTTGTCTTATTTATTGTGACCTTATGCCTTATAATTATATATCTTAATCCTAAATTACACACTAAAGTAAAGCTCTGGTTTGACCGTTCTCGGGGAAATTAATTGGGCGATATCATTAACTCAAAACTGTGGCCCGGGGCACAAAGGACGCTAACATTGAACAAAAGCCGAACGCCGAATTTTCATGGTGTGGGCATATCCACTTCACTCAAAACTGTAATTAGGGATCCTCCCCTCACACATTGTATTCGTTGAACACAGTCATAAGATTCTCTGATCAATATATAGTTCGAGGATATACGTCACACGAGATAACGAGGTATATTAAGTTCACACCAATGCATACAAGATATTTCCTTTGAAGTATAGTTTCTGGATCACTTCCAACACTTCACATAGGTCTGATACATTTATCCTTTTTCCAAATCAATGTTCTTTTATATTTTCATCTGATACTTGCGGTAGCTAGGTTCACTAATCGTTCACAGACGTAAATAGAATGACCTTCAAACACGATCTACACTTAGCCCTTATAGTACACTAGTCCGTATCGATTGGACTTTCTCAACCATCTTATAGATACCTTGAGTTCTCCTTAATATTATATACCCGTACCTGAGTACAATTCATCAAATAATTCATAAACATTCAGTTGGTGAGTTATCCTTTATCAACGTTTCCCGTTTTCTGAGATTCTACAAGAGCTGTGGATTTGAATGTTATGTAGCGTAATGTGAATTAAAGGGATTCTAAGGATGACAATGATGTGCGTAGTACAGTGGCACCACTGACATGGTCATTGCTGCCAACCAGATACAGGAAAAGTGCAGAAAACAGCGTCGTGAAAATGTACATGGCCTTCATCGATCTAACCAAGGTCTTCGACTCGGTCAACAGGGAAGCCCTCTGGCGAACCCTCAGCCGTTTTGTCTGATAACAAAAATTCATCGCCATTGTTCGGCAACTTCACGATGACATGAACGGCATTGCCCTCACAATGGCACCCAGTCTGAGTTCTTCCCCATCCAAACGGGGGTAAAACAAGGATGTGTACTTGCACCAACTCTCTTTTCCATTTTTTGGGGCTGCCTTCCTTACTCCAATTTAGCTGGCTGGGTGGACATCCAGTAGCGGATGAAGGGCCTTTTCAACATAAGACGACTCCAGGCAGTAACAATGGTGTCGGCCGCTTCTATTACTGAACTTCAGTATGAAGACGACCTCACCCTACGCAGATGTGTATGCACACTTCGGCCTTGCGGTGAATGTACGTAAGACTTAGATTCTCTTTCAGCTTGCTCCTGGTTCAGCCACACCTCCACCATCCATCCAGCTTAACTGTACTACCCTCTCTAATGTTACCCACTTTCAGTGTCTCGGCTCCCATCTGTCCACGACTGAGGACATCGATGAAGAGATTCAACATCAGATCAGATGTGCATCTCAAGCCTTTGGCAGACTCCGTAACCGTGTTTTCAGTTGTAGGAAGCTGAAATTATCTGCAAAGTTGCACATATATCGAGCAGTGGTCCTCCTCCCCCACCTTGCTATATGGCAGTGAGACATATGTCACATACAGGAGGCACCTCAAGGCACTTGAAAAGTTTCACCAACGTAGTCTACGTTCCATCCTCCGAGTTCACTGCGAAGACAAGAGATAAATCCCAGTATTTTCGCTGACACCAAATGTCGGAGCATCGAGGCTACCATTAACCATGAACAACTACGTTGGACTGGCCATGTTACCCGCATGGATAACAGTAGACTAACAAAGAAGCTACTTTACAGTCACCTAACGAATAATATATGTAACGCTGGCGGGCAACTGAAAAGGTATAAGGATAGTCTTAAGACAAACCTGAAAAAGTGCCAAATCGACCCCCTCACCTGGGAGACGATTAGACCACACCGTAACGCTTGGAGGAGCACCACACGAGAAGGTGTCAATACTTTCGAATTAGCCCGATTGCATAACGAGGCAGACAAGCGCCAACGCTGGAAAGACGCTGCCGCCGCCCCTCCCGCACTAGATGGAGCCATTCACATTGTGTGTGTGTGTGTGTGTGTGTGTGTGTGTGTGTGTGTGTGTGTGTGTGGTGTGTGTGTGTGTGTGTGAATGTGAGGTGTGTGTGTGTGTGTGTGTGTGTGTGTGTGTGTGTGTGTGTGTGTGTGTGTGTGTGTGTACCTCGGATTTTGGAGAAGTCTTATACCGTGGCTTACGGACTTCCTTTGTGATCGACGCCAAGCCATACGCTTCTAAGGGGCTGTCTCCAACTCTTAGTGACTCACCTGTTACGTCCCCCAAGGCACCAAGATGGGACCAATCTGCTTCCTCAACTTTATCAATAATGCCCTGAGAGAAACCTCTCCTCGTTGGAAATGTAACGACGACTCCACCTTTCGGAATAGTGTAAACAACTTGACTCCCGACTACAGCTCCCTCCAGAATATATTGAACAGTCTCCAAAGTTGGGCCACAGACAACCATGTCACCATCAATCATACCAAGACCATGGTTATGTACATCAGCCTCTCCTTTCGACCTTGCATGTCCTACTTCCCTCCATTACATTGGGCCCGAACACACTCCATGTTATGGACT